ATTCAATCTTATGATTCAACGATTCAATCTTATGATTCAATTATTCACTCTATCATTCATTGATTCAATCTTATGATTCAATGATTCAATCTTATGATTCAACAATTCAATCTTACTATTCAATCTTATGATACAATGATTCACAGAGGAGTAGAGACTCCATAGGGTCTTAGCCGAGCTCCCTAGGCTCCGAGCTGGCGTAACGAGCTGCCTCCGAACCTAAGGAGCTCGGATCCAAGCCTAAGGAGTCTCTACTCCTCTGTGAATCATTGTATCATAAGATTGAATAGTAAGATTGAATTGTTGAATCATAAGATTGAATCATTGAATCATAAGATTGAATCAATGAATCATAGAGTGAATCATTGAATCATAAGATTGAATCATTGAATCATAAGATTGAATCATTGAATCATAAGATTGAATCATTGAATCATAAGATTGAATCATTGAATCATAACGTTGAATCATTGAATCATAACATTGAATCATTGAATCATAACATTGAATCATAAGATTGAATCATTGAATCATAAGATTGAATCATTGAATCATAACATTGAATCACTGAATCATAACATTGAATCATTGAATCATAGAGTGAATCATAAGATTGAATCAGTGAATCATAAGATTGAATCAATGAATCATATAATGAATCATTGAATCATGAAATTGAATCATTGAATCATAAATCGACCCTACATCGACCCTACATCGACCCCACATCGACCCTACATCGACCCTACGTCGACCCTACATCGACCCCACATCAACCCTACATCACACCCATATGTCGTCGTAAAAAATATAAAAGTTTTCAAACCATTTATTCTCGGTCATTTAAGATTGAACTTTCAAAGTGTCAATATGTCCTATAAGCACAAAAGGGACTGTCCTCTCTGTAACAAGTCTGGTCTTCGATATACAGGGTGTATCAAAATAAACGCAATTCATCTTTTGTGCTTAATAACTTTCGAAATACTATTTCTAGTTAAACGCTTTTAGGCTTACTTCAAAGCCTTTTCTTTTCTCTTTCAAACAAACTATTATCCTTGTCTCCAATGCTAGTAATAATTGCACAGGAAAAGATTTAGTAAAACCTATCATTTTTAGTTGTTGTTTAATTATGCAAGTTTACTATGTTATTGTTTAGTCGGTTTAAATGTTAGAATTTTCTTCTTTAAACTTTAATGTTGTCGTCACTACATCTGGAAAACCACGTAAGAACAAATTAAAAGTATTTTAAAAGAGACCAGGTTGTTTGAAAATCCTAAACGAATGCTAAAATCGTCAAAACATTCTGGTGTCTGAGCCAGAGTGTCATCGAATTGCGATGTAATGTAAACAGAAATTATAGCAAGTTGATGTCAGTCAGCTTAGATGGTCCAAGCCAAAATTATATCGCATTTGAAGTTTCAAACTGAGTTAAAATAGTGGAAGAAAAGCCGTAATTATACTTATTGTTACAATCCATTTAATAAAATGCAACATTTTTTTGTTTTATTGAAAAAATCAGTTATTTTCATGAGAACGATTTGTTATTCCATCTCAATTTTTTTAATCTCCAATCGCAATAAAGTAAAGTATTATTACCCGCGAACCAATGAGTCAAATTTAAGAAACAACCCACTGTTAGAAAGCTGAATGGCTGCGCTTTAAAATGAATGTAAACTTTTAACGTTTTCGTCCATTATTTGTTTAGCAATTTACATTTCAGTCGAGGATTGCGCTTTTTTTGATACACCCTGTATACTACCCCCCTGCAAAAAAAGTAACTGCCCCCCTGCAAAAAAAATAGAAAACCATGGAAATTCGGGCACATGCTAAGAAAAATCAAGAAAATTCGAGGGCAGATTTATTATTAGTCAGAAAACATGTTAAATTCAGGTTATTTCATTACAATTCTCCATAAAAATTTGGGGAAACTTTCAACTGCCCTTCCAATATTTCCATTGTCCTCATTATAAGTATTCATTATTTGCATATTATATCAAGCTGCCTAAAACAGCGACCATTTTGAATCGGGGGAGCGATCAGTTTCCAATTGTAAATGGCTCAACGATCCGCTACGGCTGCCCGTCGCCACATCCAAATGCCAAAATTCCGTTGACAGTGTTTAGATGAAAATCAGTGAATGAAAATTCATTTCGCATAAATCACCATTTTATTTTCTGCATGTGTAATACCAAAGGCAAAGCATGCGAGTGCAGTTTCCATTATTGCTCATGCCCATGATGATGATTGATCACTACCCTATGTTACTACTGTATACCTACCTCGTCCCCAGGCGCTATAAAACGATTTCACATACGACTGATACGAGTCACTATATAAAAGGTTTACATGAAGTAGTTCGTCACATTATAGGCGCGCAAAGAGGAATGGGATATGAGCCTCAAGCCCATAAACCCCTGCGCTTGTTCGTCGCGTGCACTGCCTTTCATATAGTGACTCGCACGAAATTTTTTTATTAGCGCCTGGGGACGAGGCAGACTGTATACTGGTTAGCACTATTTTCCATCCAGCAAACTGACCTGACGTCATTTTCGCAAGATAGAAGAGGTGTTAAATGGCTATGTAACTAACCCAAACCCCACCCCTACTCTAATCCCTAACCTTAACCTCAACTCTAACCCTAACCCTAACCCTAACCCTAACCCTAACCGAATTAATAAAAAAATCCAAAAAGAAACGACTTTACAAAATCGATAGGGCGGTTTGCTGGATGGAAAAAAGTGCTAACCCTGTATACTATGATACATGTATACTATATTGTTTTAAAATTTCAGATCTAATATTACTACTGCATTTGTCAAAACGAACTGGGGACTTTTAAGAGTTTCGCAATCAAATGGGTAGGTTGATCGAGTTGAAAACGAAGATAATATAAAAAATGTTCACGATAATATAAAAAATGTGCATGTTATTAATATTCAATTTGTGTATGGTCTTTGTAGGTGATACTGTAGCCTGCGTAACAGGCGTTTACAAAAGGAACTTCAACATTTCGTCTGAAACGTCAATGTTCTCTTTGTATTTCAAGTAGTTTATTTTCAAAATGTTAAATATAATCAGGATTTTACATGATATTCTATAAGCGTGTGTTATACACTTCATAAATTTCTAAAACATTTGGCATCTTGGAATATATTTTAGTGGATAAAAATACTGTTTTGCGTTCCTGTAATTGTACAATTTTAATCATATAATAGCAATTCTATTTCTTAATGTTTAGGACAAATATTATCGAGGAACGAATGTTTCAGAGAATCAACAACCTTAAGGCAGATTCTATTATTGTATCGGCTCCATATAATGATGGTAAATAGCAACTTAATACTGAACTATATACCCAATGTATAACATTGTTGAAACTAATTAATAATTCATGAAGAAAACACAAACGAAATCATGACCGTGAAGGAATTTGTATATCTGGTGACAAAATGATTTTAAATTTAATTTTTTCACCATATATCATTCATTTATTTTAAATTTATGTTCTCACCAAGAAGTCTCACAAGCCATTTACAGCATTCGCGTCCGTTTTCTATCGGATATACAAACTTGCACCTTCGGCTCAAGTTTGTACAATGCGGTCGCTCATATTGTGAATAGTATACTGATATCTTCCTTCATTAGTGAAACACTATAAACACTATATTTTTTTTGAAAACTTTGAAAGATTCCACCAGTCTAGTCCAGAAAAACGTCTGAAAATATTAATGTATATTTTCATTAGAATATTAGAATATAGAGAAGGTATAGTTTCCCAACTTCTCCGAAGAAACTTTTTAATTGACAACCCCTTCTTGCTCAAAAAAGTAGAGGCAGCTGCAACATTACCTTGTCCTATATATAAGAACATAACCATTTCCTAATTCCGTTTGAATTAACCATCTCGTATTTTGATTTAAGGTAAATCAGATGGAATTTCGTCAAATCTGTTCGTTTACCAAGGAATCCACATAAACGTTTCCAACTTCAGCATAACTCCTGCTGGTTAGAGACCTTCCATGCATACGTTTTAGAATACGTCTTGATTTCAGTGTATAGTGAATTAAGATTTATAGCCACATTTTTCAAACAGAGCAGAATTTCTCTGTGCAAAAAAGTTGATTTCATCTGGTTTTGCAAATTTTTGTTTTGCACAAAGTTGAAAAGTGTACATATTCCAAGACACATTCTATATTATTATTATTAATGTTTACCCTGCAATCCTAGGACTGGCCTTGAACGGGTTAGTTGGGTTTTGGCTTCACTAATAGCTGACTTGTTTAATCAGCAAATCAGCATAAGCCAAACTGCGACAAAGGATTACAGTGTATATATAAACATGGATTATCATTCTGTTTACGCCTGCAATGATGAAACTGTCAAATTTTCTTTTATATGTAAAATATTTAATATTTTTCTTCACCGACTTTATACTTTAGTATCTGGTTTCCAAATAAACGAAGAAATATTCTTGAAAGATTATTTAATGAACTTATCGTCAAAGGTACAAGCACTGAAGTTTCTATTTGCATGATTGATGAAGCAATTAGAGAAAGTTCACTTTCGTGTTTTGTTGGTTCATGTATCACGCCTGTTGTTATTTCTGTTTTTGAAACTAAAAAAATGAAATAGATATATAGTGATGATTTCACATCGCGAATGCTAGAGAACAGGTTTACTTCATGGCTTTGCACTCCCTTTGGTTGGTGTCAGGAGAAGAACTACTCCAGACTACATGCAGTATTTAATATTTTTAACTTTATTCATATTTCATACCAACAGGATAGCTATCATGTTTATCTTTTGGATGAAAATGCGTTCATTGTCAGTTCTAGTCTCAGTAATAACGACACTAAGGTAAACACACTGGATACTTTAAACTGATTGTATTGTGTATGAGTATTAGAGGCTTAGCTTTTCTTGAACTTAATTATAAGTGGACATTATTCGGTAAACACGAAGCTAAAATTTACGTGGTTTGTGATTGGCTTCACGTATAACTACAGCTATACCAGAATTAAAGCACGTATATATATAGTCAATAACCTTTAAAAACAGATACAATATAATGGTGCATGATTTAATATCCATACGTGCTTTAATTCTGGTAGCTATGTGACGTCATCATGAAAGGGGTCCATACTGCACCACTTTGCTTTTTTACTTATATTATTTAATTAAATAATTTCTACAGAATGTTTGTGGCCAATTTTTTGGAAGTGTTGACTGGGAGCTAATGTCAGAATTGGAAAAGGGCAATGAACCTTTATACACAAGGTGGGTAATTTTTATATGTAGAGATGCTTAGATCGTTGAACCAAAGATAACGAAAATGACTTGTATTTTGTTCTTAAGAGATGTAATTAGGTAATTCAAGTAGTAGAACATAGAACGTTCAGGGGCCGGTTGCACCCTGGTTATACGAAGGCTCGCGATAGCGCTTTTTTTCAACTGACTTTTCTAAAATTGGTTGTGGATTGCTATAACCCAGATTAAAGTTTGGGTTTTATAAATTTGGGTTCTATATCCATACAGTTTCACAGATTTCAGTCGTTTATATACAAAGGTTGAAAGAATCACTATCCAGCCATCGTATACAAGTAATACAACTGACGTTATACCGACCCCGGAAAATGACTAATGAATACTATTTTTGGAAGCGAGTTTTTTTTTCTTTATACTGTATTATATTCGGTAGGCCTATATTCAGAAAAGGTTTTGATAAGCATTTTATAGTACAATAGTAGTTTTAATTATTTAATTACTAGGTTATAATAACGTCTGTAACTTGTAGTTAATAACTTTTGTTTTCCTGACGACATCGTTTAGATTTACGTTAAGAAATGAACAGGGAGAATGCCTTGAATACCCTTCAAAATCAAGCAGCTCTACATTCAATTATCCATTTTATTCGACATTAGCTTCATCCTTTACTTCTTGGGCAAAGAACGTTCTTGCGTAAGTATACAGCCAGGATTTCATAGAAATTTCGTTATTTAATTTTTAAACCTGTCACTGATAATATAAATTATGCTTCTTTATATTGAACCTTATGTTATTCATTCTTACCATAATTTGTGTTACAATATATCTTTTTTTCGCATTGCAAATTTTTGAATGGTAATAAATTTCTTCTTCTTCTATTCTTGCTCTTAACACCTGTAGCGTACGACCCTTCCCTCAGTCAAAATCTTTACTCAGGTCGCAAAAAGCCGATGAATACACTGTGCCTGACTTATATTTATTTGGTTTGGTTTGCTTGTTGTTTTTTTTATAGATGCCTTCTTCATCTCAATCTATACAAGTAAGTTTCATGATATTTTGAGGTTATTAATTGGTTACCAAAATATTTAACATGAACACATTTAATTCAATATTATTCTGGGAATGGCAGCGAAAATACACTTATATACTCACTTGAGATTTGTATTGTTTTCAGTTTATTATTCGCAGATGCAGCAACAACAGGTACGTTAAAAATCACAATGATATTTTTTCATTAATTTTGTTCAGCTTAAAGATAAATTATATAGTGAAGTGAATTATTAATCTCGATCAAAATGTCAGGTGATTAACTGTTACACCTTTCTTTTACCTCTTCATCTAACTGTTAAGTTAAAAGTCTCTGATCAGAACATTGTAACAATGTATGCCATATAATTCTCAAATTCATTAATAATTCATGAGCAATCCAGCCAATGATAATCACCTATTTGATCACAAGATGCCATTTGGATAACCCGGTGAAACTTGATGAAAGTCACTAGTGTTTTCATCAAATGTCTTAATTACGCGTGCAAAATTACTTGAATAGAATTCCTAATTACGTTATTCTTGGTTAAGAATTCTATTCAAATCAGCAAACGAAAACATTCTGTTACATCTCGATTCATTTGAGAAGCCATATAAACAACTCGAGCTCGTGTCTCACCGGGATATCCAAACACTCGAAAACAATGTATGAAAACACTCGCGCTTCGCGCTCGTGTTCTCATACATTGTTTTCTCGTGTTTGGATATCCCGGTGAAACACTCGCTCTCGTTGTTCATATATTACATGACAGTTATCTGGCTATCTGTACTAATTGCCAGTGCCGGTTCCTATACACCTTTACTCCTTTAGAGTGAAATTCAGTGAATCGAATATTATTTTATCACACCCCAGAAACAAAACTCCTGGCTAAAAATCCCGTACGTTAACCTAGAAATAACCCTGTTTGGGTTAACTTAACATTCCTAGTTAATGTTCCTGTTTATTTTAACCTTTTTGCTGGTAATTTTAGCTATATTGCCTATAATTTAACCAGGACTTCTAGCTGGTTAAATTGACCAGATTATGTTGCAGTAGGTGGATTTTGGTTCTTCATTATTAGAAAGTGCAGTTCGCCACCAACCTGTATGAACAGGTTTTGTCGGTAATTATAGTTGATTATAACAATGAAATAAACACCAATCACAAAACACGTTCATTTTGGATTGGTATTTTCCCGATAAAATCTTTCTTCTATTATCTTTTACACTTAACTTCACAGACCTTTATTCTTTAATATAATTAGCAAAAATTCCTACCGAAAATTGTTTATTCGCTCAGTGTTTAATATAAAATGTCTATTGCCAAGGACTGTCGTATTCTTCGAATCGGTTCATCTAAGATATTTGCTTCTCAAAACAAGGAACTATATATAGGAGCTGTCAAACATCCTAATTATTACCATGCTTCGTTTCTAGTTACTCAAAACGTTCAATCACCGACGAACAGAAGTTGTGTCACAAATATGACGGCGTATTATGGCAATATTACACGTTGGAAATCTTATAGTGGTGAGTAACATTTAAAAATTATCGAATGCGGTTGAAAATTCTTCATATTTTGCGAAAACTCGAATTAAATAATTGTTTTATTACTTTTTAAAAGACGAATAAGACGTCCGCATCTGCGGATTCAATTCGTCGAAATAATGACCATGCAGTTATTTTGTCTCATTTGCAGAAAATCTTTCCTTTTTTCTTTCATAAGTACGTTAAGAAGTTTCAAACCTTTTCTGGATGTTTTCGTTGATATTCTTCTTTGTATTTTAACAGTTTTTTCCTTTAAACATGGCTGATATTGGTTTGGTCGTGTTTCCATGCACACTTCATATTCGCATTTCCACAACATGACGTCATAATGTTGAATATGATTATCATATTTAACCTTATGACGTCACGCCGTTAAATATTATGTCAAAAGTTCATATTGTGTCAGCTATTGAGATATGACAATTTCACAGTTGGTTCTGTGTTAATATATACACCTGAGAAATATTGCTATGTAAATGAATGAAAATAATAATGCTTACTATGGCAAGAGTGCCAAGCATATTTGTAACCAGGCCTAGGGTACGATTGTGCGTAGGTTTTGTCAACAGTGATTATTATTCCATGTAGCTACTAGCTATTGTAACTTTAACTTCTATCAGCTATTTAGTCAGTTGACAATAGTTTGACAAGGAGTGCCTTATTATTTTAATTAGTCACAATTTAATCTTTAAAAATAACAGGCAACACGTCATGCCTCAGTTGTGGAGATTTTGAAGACCTGCGACAGTTTTTCGTTGCTCCTATTCGTGGAACCAACTTGGTTTTAGTTGTGGTGGAATATTTTTCAGAAAAAGAAATTTTTAATTACACAAAGAGGACGGATAATATCCCTGGCAAGCAAAGAGAAAGTATCCTTTTACGAGTGTTTGAAGTTGAATTCCCCTACACTACATATATATACGAAGACTGGTAACGTCATGCAGCAGCGTAAAAACCACATAAAAATCTGACAGCTTGTTAACAAGATGTGTTTGCCCTAAGCGCTTGTTCCTAATTGTTGATCACTAGTTGTTATAATCTTGTAACTAGGTTGATGAGGCCAACATGCAGACCTCGTAACAAATTAGTTGATAACAACAAGCTCGTAGCAACTTAATACGAACAACCTGTATTAGTTGTCCAATGCTCTGCCAACTGAACTACTTGGTCAGGTCGGTTCGAGTATGTGATATTTCGGAACTGAGTCTAGTTCCTTCTATATCAACGTAATCTAGTAATCATGATATTTACTGTGTTGGTGTAATGTACTCAGGTGAATAAGATGCTTGTGATGTTACTCTGAGTGTATATTATATCCACCGTGGCCAGGCATATTTTTCAAGCTTGCCCGGTGTGGATATATATACACTCAGAGTAACATCACATGCAAGCATCTTATTCACCTGAGTACAGTACTTTACACCAACACAGAAAATATCTGTATTAGTTGTGTTGGAACAACTTGTAACAAGTCTGTTACCATCATCAACTTTGTAACAAGATGATAACTTGTTTCGAACTTGTCAAAACAACTGGAAACATCCTAATATCGGCTTGACAACAACCATGTTACAACTATTTTCAGGATCGGTAACAACTTTCGTGTTTTTACGTGTGTGCAAACATGCGTCTCGCATGATATACTCACACTGATCATGTCGAATTGATATTTTGTGACGTCAGTAGCGACCGTGCGAGAAAAAAATTAAAACTTCCTTTGCTTCCATGAATTTTTGCTTCCATGAATTTTTGCTTTCATGAATTTTTAAAATTTGTAAGTTGCATGATTATATCAACAATATATTAAATGGAGTTTTTAAAAACAATGAAATCTGTAGCAGATTTCTGTAGCGAAGAATCTGCGTTGATAACCTTATTCCATATTCACATATGTTTTAGAATATTAAAAAATACTGAAGCTTGTTTATAAATTTTGAATATAATCACCTAAGGAAACTCAAATATTCAACACATGAAATTACTTGCGAATATTAGAACTATATAGGGAACCACTTTAATACAATTATCAGTCTCGATTATAGTTTATTATCTTTAATCTTACGTGACATACAGTTCAAATCCAAGATGTCACGTGTAATTCATATTCAAAATTACCTCGTGGTCATCCTGAAAGATGTGTTTTATCACAAAGTGAGGTCAGTATGACGATGTGCAATTATTCGTTAAGCAGTACAGTTGTGGAAAGCGAAAAAGTCGAATACGAGCGCGAATGGCTTGCTGGGAATCGCTAACAAATTAATGAATTTTTTAGCGATTCCCAGCAGCCTTTCGCGCTTGTATTCGACTTTTGCGCTTTGCGCGGGGACAACCTTAATTGAAATAGCTGTATGCAATCATTATCTGATATGCAAGGTGGGAAGCTCGATGTTTTGTGAAAAAGTTATAGCCCCCCCCCCCCCCGGTAACGATCGCGAACATATCAAGATGACGGGTGTAATAGTGTGTCACTGGCGATACCTCTGAAATCAGTAAAGAATGATTTGCATACATTTACAGACAATTTCACGTCGTCGAACACGACCTGATTATGACCAATGAGAACCATCCATGCAGACTTAGACTCCGTTTACACCGCTGTACCGGATTCGCTGGTCAGTGAGTGGTCACGACATCTTCGTTTGCTGCCCAGGAGCAACGTTTAATTAAGGTTACAGGACACCCTTTTTGGCGTTTTGTGGAAAATCGCTACTGCGCGCTCAAAATCAGTCCGATTTTCATCAAATTTTCACCAAATGTTAGCCGGTGCATGCAAAATATGATAAAGTTGTAAAATTGACAAACAATAAATTAATGTAAGAATTGTTCAGGAAAATCTTAAGTCGCGGTACCTTTACGATTTTGAATTATGTTCCTGCTGGTTTTAAGATATATTTATGAAAATATCATTTTAATACAGTAAAATAGTTGTTCTAAAAAATTGTGTTCGGAAATTTTTGTTTATTTCGTCATTCCGCTCATATGGCGATTTCTTTGACCACTGCAATATATTTCTGAATCGTTTGTGTGAATTGCTCCTTATTATTAAAATATCCAAAATTAGAACAAAGCCGAACACAATTTTGAAACTTACGTCTTTAGCTTTGCCTATGTCCTGTGAAAATTTGAGAAAAATTCGTTAAAACCCGCAGGAGCACAACTCATTTAAAAATCAGTAATTGCCGTAAAATTCTTCGGGAGAAAATTGAATTTGAATATTACATTTTCAATGTTTTTCTTATTGCAAGCGAAATGTATTTTATTAAATAAGTCTGCGAGTTTTCAACATTTTTCGTTCACACTTGGTCAGATAGTAGAACTAGTGAAGTCTAATGCTTTCATGAAAACCAATAAAAACATTTTAGGCAAAATTAACACTCAAAGGTGTTCTGTAACCTTAACAACAAAGGTTTACTCTTTCGATAACGTCCGTATGTTACTACCATTATAAATGTTTAGCCTATTTCATTGACTGTTAGAACTGATGTCGTGACCAGCGAATCCGGTACAGTGTAAACAGGGCCTTAGTCACTGTGAAGGGTGGACGATTAAATATCGTTGGAGGGGTGGGAGGTCCCAAAAACAAATTCATGCAAAGAGTAGAATTTGAAAAAGCATCTAGGGAAAGGAAAAAATCCTGCAAGTACATGGAATGTACAAGTATTATATAGAAAAAATTCATGCAAAGTGGCTTCTAACCGTAAAAATTTCGACAAAGCTTCGAACTTAAAAAATTTTGCAAGGAAAATTTCCCATTTCCTCCCCTCTAATGGTCCACCCTAATGTCATAAAAACGAGATGTCATGCATACGGTTAGAAAATTAATTAAATCTGAATACAAGCGAATACGGTCCTAATTTTCGACATTTACGACCAGGGACAAATTTTCTTCTTATAGTGGTCCGTGATGCATAATTGTTAAAAAGAGTACAATATAATTTCGTGTTATATAACTATTTAAGAAATAGAAAACATTTTCCGTGTTTCTATAGAGTTATAGAAACACGCGTGAAAGTTTGGGAGAAAGGAGAAATTGCGTGGGAACACGAACACGAGTGTTTCCACGCAATTTCGAGTTTCTCCCAAACTTTCACAAGTGTTTCTATAAACTCTATAGGAACACGGAAAAATGTTTTCTATTTCCTTTATTAAATAGCCTTCTAAAAACAATAAAAAAGATAAATTTATTGATTTTAATTATATTCATTCAAATACTAAAATATAAAATCCACTCAACAACGTACATGCTTGCAAGAAAGCACTGTTTTAAATAGTTACAGTATTAAACGTTTAAACATGATTAAAAACGATTAAAAATGATAGTAAGCATGATTAAAAACGTCGCCAGGAAATATTTTTTAAAAAGACAAAGTATTAAAATTTAAAATATCTTACCTTGGCAAACAGTTACAACGTATGCTGTATTATATTTTGTGCTTTAGGTCTTTGCTTTCTAAGTTAGCAAAGCGTTGCCTTTTTTTACGGTTCTTCGGCGTTTTCGGACGTTTTTCCACTTTTTTTCAATGTTAAATATTGTTTGTTTGTATTTTGTTTAAACTCCCGCGCAATCCACGTAACACGCGTGAAAATTTGTATACCGAGTTGTAGAAACACGGTTTTTTTGAGCTTTTGACCAATCAGCGCCCGTGTTTTTAAAAGGCTATTTTGTAAAGGAGTATATAGGACACCGTTACTTAATTTCCTTGCCCTTGATCATCAGTTTATTCAATTTTATAGGAAACACAATATAGTTGTGGAAGGGCGAAGATCTTGGAACCAACTACATATTATATCATATTACATATCTTGTATCACATAATACAGCTTGAAAGCTGAGGAGCAGGTCAATTTCAAACATGTTACACTGTAAATTAATCTTCTTTCAATAGTAACAGCACAGAAAAGTTAATATATACAGTATACAATTTGCCAGATAATCTTGCTGAACGCTTGTTTATATAAATCCAATTCGCACTCAGTTTTAGTTATATCTACAGGGTGTATAAAAAAAGGTACTCCAAGTTTAGCACATGCCATTGTAGCTACGTTAATTGTATGAACGTAATTTTTCCCGCATATAATCATAAAGATCAGGCTTTTGGCTGTTGAATGATATGTTTTTCATCCATTAATCATTATACAGGGTGTATCAAAAAAAACTGAACCCTTTCAAATTCAAATTAGCTATAACGTATTGTAGTAATTTGACAGCTCTAATTGCCTTGAATTAATGGTTGGGTAAGAACACAAGGAATACTGTATTTCTTTTAAATTTTCTAATTTTTATTTCTTTGAGTTTTGTCGCATGAGTACAAGACCTTGTGTTCTTATCCAACCATTAATTTAAAGCAATTAGAGCTGTCAAATTACTACAATACGTTATAGCTAATTTGAATTTGAAAGGGTTCAGTTTTTTTTTTATACACACTGTAGAGAACGTGCAACTGAGCAAATACGAGTCCGCAAAATAGTTTGTAGAAATCGCATATATTTTCAGTCAAATTCGCCTAATTAAAGCAGTCATGCATGCAACCTCAGAGTTGGTTTACAAGATGTTTATAATAATTATATGCATATACGCAGGTATTTTATTGAAGTGAAATTCGTCAACTTAAAGTCCTAAAGGGAGTTAATTTTCACTAGTTTTAGACCCAATTCTCAATTACGGTGAAAATATGCATTTTCGACAAACAATTTTTATGTATATATTTGCTCATTTTTTCTTCATATTGGATGAAAAACGTGTCATCCTATGCACCAATTAGTAATTAACGCACAATGGCATGCTAACAGTTGGTTACCTTTTTTTGCATTTGAGCAACAGCTATAACTTGAGCAACATATATAATAATAACTTGAGTAACATATACAGGGTGTACATGCAATATGTACAGGGGGTACACCCTGTTGATCCTGTATATATCGCTCAAGTTATACAGCTATTGCTCAAGTTTACGGGTCATAGAACAGGGGCCGGTTGTACTTCTGCACGTCTGTTTATTTTAAAACTTCAGAGAAATAAACTCCTATCGGTCCAGACAAGATCTCTGAAGAAATATTTCAAAATTTATAGACAAGCTGTCAGGAAGTTTGCTTTGAATTTTAGGCCGTTAACCTAGGGTTAATCTAACCCAACTTTGAACAACTGGCCCCTGGGCAATAGTAATTGTAAATAACCTAATATTATTTGTAGTAATATTATTTTATAAAATTTTTGAATACATCATTCCACTTTGTCTTTGCTATGGTTAACTTGGCAAATCATTGTTTTTGTCTTGTTTTGTGAACCCAACGCAAGACCAGGTTTCCTCCGGTCTGAATCCCAAACATTGAAGTCGTCAGACGAAAAACATATCAGTTTCTTGCACATTTTCGCTCAAAACATTGAAAATCGTTTCAGATCAGTTTTTCCTGGCATTTCTCGAAACTCTCGGCAGTCCTTTTGAATCATAGGTTTTCCGCGCATTGGCTTAAAATATATAATTTTCCCGCGCATATGTAGGCTATATTTAGTATTTTTGCACAAGTGAACAGATCCTACAAGTTAATTGGTCAAATTTGACGTACTATTGGTACTAAGCCGCTTTTCACCTGCAGGTGAATATATAACAAAACCGAAATTTACAAAATGGCGACTAGCCGTTTTGTGGAAATCACGGATAAAGAAATAAGCGAATTTAAAATATAAATTCAGTCCCAAAAAACACAAAAGACTTGGGTAAAAATACTAAAACAATTATTCGCCTCAGACTTGATGATTATCGGGGAATATTCACCTCGACTTCGTCTCGTTGAATATTCCATGATAATCACCTCGTCTTTGGCGAATAATTGTTACCTCCGCCAGGAGGTTATGTAATCATCTGGGTTTGTATGTGTGTGTGTGTGTGTGTGTGTGTGTGTGTGTGTGTGTGTGTGTGTGTGTGTGTATGTGTGTGTGTATGTGTGTGTGTATGTATGTGTGTGTGTATGTGTGTGTGTTTGTCTGTGAGCACGATAACTCAAGAAATACCAAACATATCCGTACGAAATTTTTTGAATGCATTTCCCATCGGCTAAGGAAGAACTGATTAAAATTTGGTTGAATTTGGTTAAAAATTAAACGAGAAATGAACAAGATTTTGTCTTGCTTTTCCCGGTCAATTAACAAAATATATTACTGAATGCGTAATTAGGACGTGTATAATTTATGCACTCAGTGCTAAGACAGTAATGAGATGATAAACCTCATTAAGCTTCGGCCTTCATTATCTATTGTCTTAGTTGCATTTCAGGCGACCGAAATTCAATGTCTAAAACAAGGCTTACGGAGTTACGCATTATTACGTTCAGCAAAGTCCCAGTCCATTCAAATTCTAACAACATTAGATTACTTCAATACAGGGTGTATAAAAAGAACGCAACCTCGGAATTTCCCAAGAAATCGACATTGTTTTAAAGACAAAAGATTTTAGCTGCCTGGGAATTTAAAATAGCACAACTGTGAAAATTACTGCACGCGCGAGTGCATAAAGCAAAATTTGTGCATTTATTTAATGACACTTAAAAAGTTTTTATTTTACAAGTACTGTACAGTACAACAACAGTAATATGTTCTATTAGCAATTCGATTTCAATTCGCGGGGGCCTGAAATCTTTTATGCTTAAGAATTATAAAGTGGATTACTTAGGAAATTCCAAGGTTGCGTTTCACTTCCGAGTAACGGGCGGAGGTATGCAGTCTCTGAGTGCCCTCTAGTTAAACTATATATTTGACATGCACTCACAAGCGAGGTATATATATGCAAAAACAGCTCTTACCACTTATTTCTTCATTTTTTGCTGGAATGATGTTAATTTGAAGTAGGCCTAATTTCAGCCTTGACTATTTCTTGATGATAATATAGTCGCTTTAACAATTAGCGAAAATCGCAATAAAGGTCAATAAAAAAACTTCAGCGACTTCGCTAAAACCGGGCGCCATGCCAATTATGAGCGGGAAAACACTAGCCAACCAAACGCTAAGACGACAATTCACCATATCAATGAGAAAATTCGTCTGACCAATCAAAATGCTGAGATGATAAATTTCACATGTTCTGAATATCGTCCGCCACGTGAATACGATTTTTATTATATAAGCAGGGGCGTAGGAAGCATAAAAAAGCTGGGGGGGTCACCGGTTTCGAGGGGCACTTTTGGAAAGAAACGGCACCTAAAAAATTTTAAATGAGATCAAATGAAAGTGACAGAAAGAATTAAAGCAGTTTGCAGTTGTTTTTGCAAACGAGCATCGTGCAAATTTTTCCATTTGTCGTGCTCCAGCCCCGTTTCCGCTTCTGAAAGGTCCGATTCGCATGCAAAGAGTGCGCGCAAAGCAGGCTGGTCATTTCTCATTGTTTAACTGCCCCACACTCAAGTAACCACGAAGACTCACAGATGTTGCTTTGCAACATTCGTGAGTCAAAAATGCAATCTGAACAACATTTTTCACAAAGGCAAAGGGCACTTTGCCACCGGAAAAGGGGCACTTTTTGCGTTTTCGAAAACTTGGGGGGGGGGGTCTTGGCCCCCTTGGCACCCCGGTTCCTACACCCCTGTATATAAGTACTGAGAGTTATTCATTAAAATGTCATTGCGTATTATAGCTATAATTAATTAGCTTGCAGTAAAGTTTATTTCCCAAACCGGTTTGACATATTTTTACAAATGCCCAATCACATGCGAGATTCATGAAACCGATGTGACCAGAGGCTCTTCCTTCCTTCTCGCCTCTCGTTTATTTTGCCTCGCAAAGAGCCTCTGGAACCAGGGTACATTTTACAATAAAATGATTATTAAATTGTAACAAGCAATGTATGTAAGCACTGTTAATATCTGTATTTACGTACCATTAATATCTGTAATTTTAATATTTGCAATATGTATGGTAAATTAAATTGATTGATTGAAAAGAACTAATATTGATAGATTTTTCAAACAATAATAAACCTCATGCATAATGACGTCACGAGGCTTGATGCCCGCGAGAAATGCTGGTCCGTAGTAGCCTGCGAAGTTTCTCCCAGTGAGCCTGTTCGCAGGCTAGGTCCGTAGTAGTCATCGCCTGGAAAAATTTCGATAGTGGCCATTTTGAATTGTTTAATTTTCCCGCGCGATGACTACTAAGACCAGCATTCCTTGCGGGCATCAAGCCTTGTGACGTCATTATGCATAAGGTCTGTTAATAATTCATACGCTTATTGGCAAATCATGCCAATCGTTATATGTCACGTGAAGAGGCTTTATACCTGATAAAACATTAGTATTCTTTATATAAAAGTCCATCCGATAATTAAAATTCTTTATATAAAGAATATTAATTCTGTGTTGGTGTAGTGTACTCAGGTGAATATGATATTTGTGGTGTTACTCTGAGTGCATATCCACACCGGGCGAGCTTGAAAAATATGCCCGGCCACGGTGGGATTCGAACCTACGACCTTTGGAATACTAGCCCAATGCTCAGAATACATTGCTTAGAATACATTAGAATACATTGGTATTGAAGGAACTAGATTCTGTTCCGAAATATCAGTTACTCGAACCGTCCTGACCGCGTAGATCAGTTGGAAGAGCATTGGGCTAGTATTCCAAAGGTCGTAGGTTCGAATCCCACCGTGGCCGGGCATATTTTTCAAGCTCGCCCGGTGTGGATATGCACTCAGAGTAACACCACAAATATAATACTAATTCTATTGTGGTCATGTTTGAACTTTGAAGCAATTCAAACTCGTGTTGCGCATTCGCATTTTAAATATGATAAAACATCGGTCATGCGTGTTTTAAATAGTGAATAAATTATACTACGGTTGTATACCCCAATCTTTGTAATCTCTTGGTTTGCAAAGGTCTGTTTTAAGACCTTCTTTGTGCCATCTTCCTTGAGACACCGCCTCACGTATCTGACACCAATGCCCAAATTTTCTTTCCCAATATTTCCCTATATAAAGTTGAATGGTTATGCAGTTGACGGTCTTCGGCATAATCAATCAACCTGGATTGTTAGGCCGAATATAGACTTGGATCAAGTCCGTCTCTCTAGAGTCCGAGGGAGAGCGCGACCTCGCGCGCCGCTTCGTGGCGCGCTCGATCTCGTCGCTTCGCGATTCCAACTCTAGAGAGACGGACTTGATCCAAGTCTAGGCCGAATACAGTCAACGGCATAACCATCCAAGTTGAATGGATATGCCGTTGACTGTCTTCGGCATAACCATTCAACTTGGATTCCATTCAAACATACACAACGGCATAAACAGCATAAACAATGTTTATGCTGTACTAGTGCCGTAGCAAGCTCGATAATTGGGGGGGGGGCTCATATTCATATATTCGTGTTCACAGACCATAAAAACGATCGATTTCAAAAGAAATTAATAACGCAGAACACGAATATATGGCTATGAGCCCCCCCCCCAATTATCGAGCTTGCTACGGCACTGTGTACATATTCAACGGCATAAACATTTAAGGCCTGTTTCAAACGTCGCGCTTCTCATGTGCCGAACGCATTAGAAACAATAGATAATGAGACATTTCTTGTTACAACCATTTATAGACCACCCAATGCATCATCTGAATTCTTTGATCATTTTGAAAAATTAATTAAAGCCATTGATGATGAAAATAAAGAAATGTATATTCTGGGTGATCTAAACTGTGATATGCTTAAAACAGACAAAGATTCGAATTCTCCAACAAAGAAAATCAAAACATTGTATGAGTTGTATCAATTGTTACAATTGATTGATGAAGCTACCAGAGTAACTATGACAACCTCTAGTCTTATTGATCATATAGTCACCAATACACCAGAGAAAATTTCTGACTCTAGATCTGGTGTTATCCATACTGGATTAAGTGACCATAGTTTGGTATTTGCAATAAGGAAAATTTCTGTTGTTAAAAAACAAGAGAAGAAAGTTGAGATAAGAAATATGAAAAAATTTGATCATCAAAAATTTGTTAAGGATCTGAGGCAACAACCCTGGGAAAATGTATACTTCTTCGCTGAAGATCCCAATGCTATGTGGGAAATTTGGAAGAAATTATTTTTAGAGGTCTTGGATAACCATGCACCACTTCAACATAAAAAGATTAGAACAAAAAAAGTTCCTTGGATTACAAGTGCTATAAAGCAACTTATAATCACAAGGGACAGATTAAAAAGAAAGGCCATTATTACAAACCTAGAGATAGACTGGTTAAATTACAAAACAACGAGAAACAAAGTTAATATTCAGCTAAGAAATGCTAAAAAAATATTACTCCACTAAAATTTCTGATCAAAAATGCAACCCTAAAGAGGCTTGGAAAACTATAAACGATATACTAGGTAGGCAAAGCAAACCAACAGTAGTAAATGAGTTAAAATTAGGTGAAAATAGTTTGACAAATACCAAAGATATTGCAGAGGGCTTTAATAATTATTTTTCAAATATTGGCCCTGATCTAGCTAGTAAAATTGATACTCCAAATTTGAACTTTCAAACATATATTGAAAAGACTAAATCAGAATTCAGTGCATTCCAGCCAGTCACTGTTAGCAATGTCTACCATCTTTTACATGGTCTTTCTAGCAACAAAGCCACTGGCGTTGATAAGATCTCCAGTAAAATTATTAAAATAGCTGCACCTGCTATTTCAGATTCCCTCACATATATTTTCAATCAAGCTATTATCCTATCCATTTTCCCTCACGAATGGAAAACGGCTAGAGTAATACCTCTCTATAAAAATGGCCAACGAAACCTGCCAGGAAATTACAGACCAATTTCAGTTCTGCCTGTCATTAGCAAAATTATGGAACGAATTCTGTACGATCAGCTATACAATTATTTAACCAAATTTGAACTTCTGAGTGACTGTCAATTCGGTTTTCGTAAATTTCACTCTACAGCTACAGCATTACTGACTGTACAAATGATTGGTATATGAATTTAGACCGCAAAATGTTTAACCTGGTAGTCTTAATTGACTTAAAAAAAGCATTTGATACTGTCGACCATCAAATATTATTGAAAAAATTAGAGCTTTATGGAATAAAAGGACAAGCTCTGTCTTTTCTAGAATCATATCTCTCAAATAGAAACCAAAAATGCCAAATACAAGGATCTGTTTCATCAGAGAAATTGATCAAATGTGGCGTACCACAAGGCTATATTTTAGGGCCCCTATTTTTTCTGTTATATATTAACGATTTGCCTCAATGCCTGGATAAAACAAAACCTCGGTTGTTTGCTGACGATACGAACCTGACAGTTTCTGGAAACTCTATTACTGATCTTGAAACTGCAGTGAATTCTGATTTGGAAAAACTTAGGAAATGGCTAATTGCCAATAAACTTAGTCTAAATGTTGCTAAGACTGAGTTTATGTTAATTGGTTCAAAACAAATGATAAAAAATATTTCAAATTTGCAACTAAATGTGAAAATTGAAAACGAGTCAATTAAACAAGTTTATGAATCCAAAACTCTTGGAGTGACAATTGACCAGCATTTATCTTGGAAAACTAACACTGAGAATATTTGCAAGAAAATTACATCTGGAATATCGGCTCTTAGACGTTTAAAAGAATTTACTGATAAGCAAACACTTCTTTCTGTATATAATGCTATTGTTCGCCCATATTTTGATTACTGCTGTGAAGTATGGGATGTGTTTGGAGAAACGCAATCAAAAAGACTCCAAAAACTACAAAACAGAGCTGCTCGGATTATTTTGAATATGAGCAATGACATAGATCACTCTGTTGCATTGCAAGCATTGGGTTGGAAGCCACTTAAAACAGAAAGGAAGAAAAGTAAAGCAAAAATCATGTACAAATTATTGAATAAAATGGGACCCAAATCACTCAGTAATCTCTTCACATATAAGGGTGAGGTGACAAACTACAAACTTCGGAACATTTCAAGTAGTCTTTGTTTACCACAACCGCGTACTAATAATATGAAAAAAGTTTCGTGTATGACGGAGCACACCTTTGGAATTCTATTCCTAAAGAAATAAGAGAGAGCAAATCCTTTTCTTCCTTTCGAAAGAAAATCACTACTCACATTGACTGATAGCTAATTAACATAGATGTTAATATTATCTGTATATAGATTACTACCTTAGTTTGTTAGTTCATATAATACTATATATCTTATATAATTTTGTAAATAGTTTTAAAATTCTTTTCTGTATACTTTTCGCACGCCCCTCGTGGAAATCAGCTTCGGTTGACGAGGTCAGCGTGTTTAAATAAAGTTTATCGATCTATCTATCTATTTCAGCTGATTATCTATTGTTTTTAATGCGTTCGGCACACGAGAAGAGCGACGTCTGAAACAGGCCTAAGTTGAATGTTTATGCCGAACATAAGCTGAATGGTTATGCCGTTGACTGTCTTCGGCATAACCATTCAACTTGGATGGTCATGCCGTTGACTGTCTTCGACATGCAGGGTAATGCGGGGCAAAATGAGACAGTGGGAC